TTTTCAGCTCAAGACTTCTTTTTTATTAGTGCATATTAGTTGTATAAAGGGGGCTCATTGTGATATTTCCATGTATATAATGCGCTTTGATCATATTCACCCCCTCTGTTATTCTTTCTTATCCCTCCTTCTTCCTCTCTTTTTTAAGCAAAATTTTAATAGGTTTCATTATGACATTTTCATATGTGCATACAATGTACTTTGATCACTTTTAGAAAGGCTAAGTCCAAGTGAGAGATTGGGCTGCTGAGAAACACATTTTGCTTGTTCAGATGGTATCTTGAGTTGCAATCTGACCTTATCACAAGCTTAAGCCATAAAAACAAGCCTACAAAAGTGAGAGAAATAGTCCAGCACAGTAAATCCCAATTCAGGATAGCTCATTAACATCACAGTCAATCACATATCCTCATTTGTCCTTTTAAGAAAATTTTTAAATTGGAAGAAATATTCTACTTAGCCTTGAACCATAGTGAGAACGTTGGCTATCTGAATAATTGGTGCCACTTCAATCATTTTTTATCATAATAATCAACCTAAATAAGTAGGTCTCCCTATTTTAAGTTCCTTGTATAACAGTTCTGAATGAGGTAAAAATCTGGAGCTAGACTAGAGAGGATTTAGATAAGCTAGTCCTTTACAACTAAACTAATTAAGAAATCATTCTACAATAAATAGCCATAAATTTTCCACATGCTCCAAGTAAAACTAAGAAAACAACCAGAAGTAGGGTACAGAGCCCTAAAATATAACATTCTCTTTTTTTTGTACTGTCCATAGCTAAGAAAAAAGGTAACACAGATATCAGAGTACAGACCTAATGATGTTAATCTTTTACTTTAAAACTTCCAAAGGCTTCCTTTCACCAAGAAGATAAAGGGAAACTTTTCTAGCATGGTTTATATACAGGACCCAATGCTATCAGCTTATAGAGAGAAAGCTTTCCTAGGAATAGAGACATATATGTGCTTAGGTAGAGAAGAGGAGGAGAGTTTAGGTAGAACGAATATACCACTCAGTAAAGCCCTGAGGACAGAAGCCTCATGGTATATACTGGTAAACTTAAGCTGCTAGATATCACAGAAATCTAAAATATAAAGGAGGAAATAGCAAGCTATTAAAATTATTAAGAACTCTAAGGTGTTCTCAGCAATGGCAAGAAATACATTTTTATTATTTTTATTTTTAAATAACTATAAAATAGTATGTTCTTATATACATATTTTGAAATACATTTAAAATTCCTACAACTAAAGATAAAATTTGCTTCCATCTCTTTAAGACCCCACTCCAAGAGATAACTAGTCTGGCAAATATATTCTTGTAGAACTTTTACTATATTTTACATTCATAAGTATCCACAAAAAACATACATGATTGTTTTATGTTCAGGGGTTCCCATCTAAATGGCATTCTTCAGCTTCTTCTGAAGTCTATCTAAGGAAGTCCAAATAGGTCTAACTTATTCTTTAATGTTATAGAAAATTTACACAATTAACTTAAGCATTCCCCTATATTGGTTACTTAGATAATGAGAATATATTTTTATAGTGCAATTCAGAATTTGGCAACCAAAAAAAAGTGAAGAATAGTTCTAAGAAACACATAAATTCATCTCCAAAATTCAGAAACATTGTTTCTCTTTGGTGAGACTACATTAAGACTGCCCTATTCACAGATTTATTACAGTTTTTACTAAACACAGTCAAAAAACAATAATAAATAAAAATGAAATTTCAAAAACAAAAAAATTAATTTCCCAAGCATGAATTATGCAGTTCAGTTGATTCCAATAACCTCTTTTTCAGTTGTGTTAAAACACTGTGTGATTTGCTAGGTGTTTCTCTGCCCTTAATTTTGTGATAATATGCCTCCCAGAAAGCAAATGGTGCTCCAAAAGTAAGGTAAAAGTTATGGTCATCCTCCCAAGCCAAAGAAATGCATGAAAAGTGCTTAATTTAAGTGATAAAGTGAAAATTTTAGATTTGCTGAAAGGCAGCCTGTCTTTAGTGGAAGTCTTGTGGTATTATGGGAAAAATGAATCAAGCATCTGCAGTAGTCAAGATAAAGAGCATGAAATAAGATCTAGTTTTTGGTGAGCAGTATTAATGTGTACAACAGTAATTTTGTGACAGTAATGTAGTCTATTCCCTGTAGTTTCAAGTTATGGATGCTCAGACCTGCTGTAATACAGTACAGGTAAATTTAAATAATTTTAAATTAAACTGTGCATCCAAGCATTCACAGTTTTTCCTCAAGGGCAGTCTCCTTAGAACCATATACCCAGAGACACCAAGGGTCTACTCTAGTTGTTCAGTTTAACTGACTTCACTTGTAAAATTCAGCCAGGCTAACAATTCAAAGAATCTTCAGTTTAGTATTCTAAATGTAGACAGAAAAAAAAAATCATGGTAAATAACTGTCAAAATGTATAAATGTGCTGAAATTCTAATTCTATTTCTAGCAAATAACACTAAAACAATTTTTATTTTTCATGAAGCCCAGGGCCTATGAATATATATCTAGTTATCTGCTCAATCCATAAACCCATTCAAGTCCAAATACCTGACCTTCTTTAAATAAATTAGCAACATTTGCCATTTGTGATGAAGTTTAATAACCATTGTATCTGATACAATGTTTTGAGAAAATATAGTCTTGGGAGCCCCTGAGGATTCAGCAAGTTGAGCCAATTCAAAATGTCCTTGATACAAGTGTAAGGATCTACATGGTGATGGAAATGCTCTGCACCTTGACTGTGGGAGTGCAGTAGATATGTGAATCCATGCACGTGATAAAATTGTAAAGAAAGTTGTATAGAATTTAATACTCATGCATACACACAAGTACAAGGAAGACTGAGAAAATCTGATCAAGATGGATGAATTTTTTCAGTGCTAACATCACAATTGTAATATTGTAACTATAGTTTTGCAAGATAAAAAAAATGTCCTTGATACAAAAAAGGAGACCAGTAAATCCTTTCATCAAGTTTTATCAAGTTCTCAATTGTGTTAAAATCAAAGGTTTAAATCCCCAGAGCTGGCTTTTATTTCTTTAAAATATATTATAAGCTGGCAGTAGTTAAGAATATTTCTGCAATCTCAATCACTTCCTCTGCAATATCAAACAGAAGATGGTACAAGGTCAAACCCCAAAGTTTTTTAATTAGTGATTTAATGAACATAAATACACCAAATTTCAATTATTTTGATTTTAATAAATTTTCAACATACTGCTTATATTCTTTCTATGGTAAAACAACAGTTTTGCATATTTTGGCTAAACTTCTCAAATTCCTAATTTACAAAGAGGTCTTACTAACTGATATAAGCTAACTAGAAATAGGACTGTATTTTGTTAACTTATGTGTTTATTTGGTGAGCAAATGAATCTTATAAAAACTATACCTCATGCAAGGTACTATGGACAATGACTTCCCTGCTAAATCCCTAATCTGGTAGAGGCCAAACCAGTCAGATCACTAGACACATGTGATTTCAAGGAGCACTTTCCAAAAGAAATATAAACATGGGCTATTAATAAGAACTACATTTTGTTTTACCCAAATATCCAAAATATTAATCTGATCAAAAATTTAAAAGTATAATAGGGCTAAGGAAAGGGCACTGAGGGGTGATAAGGATCAAAATACACTACACATATATATGAAGATACCATAATAAAACCCACCAAACACTGAAAAAGTGGGGAGGAAGAATAGGGGGAATGAAAATACAATAGAGGGGGTGAATTTGCTCAAGGGACATTGTGCACATGTATAGAATTATCACAATGAAAACCTCTGCTATTATTAATGTATGTTAATTCAAAAATATAATAGAATGATCTTTAAAAAAAAAAACAGTAACAGGGCTGGGGGGTGGCTAGGGGCATGGCTCAAGTGGCTAACAAGCACAAGGACCTGAGTTCAAACTCCAGTTCTGCAAAAAAGAAAATTAAAAGTGTTAGTGATATTTCATATTCTTTGTTTAAAGTAAGCTTTCAAACCGCATTGTATACTTAACATGTATGGCACTTCTCAATTTATTAGCTGTATTTTAAATCCTCCATGTATGGGTAACAGCTACCAAACTAGACAGCATAAACATAGAGGGAAAACCAGAGGCCTTAGAATTAATATAGATAAGGTTTGAACTCTACTTCCATAACTCATTAAGCTATGTGACCAGGAGTTAGTGATGTGTACTTTCTGAGCTCTATTGTTCCAACCAGTAAAACAACAATACTATGATCTGCCTTGGAAATTTCTTTTAAAAATTAGAGATATGTAAAGCACCATGGTACATTATGTGCCTGGCACATAACAGAACTCAATATTCTCACCATCCTTATCATCATAATGTAGGCTGGAAAAGAAAAAGTACTGTTGTAAGAAAGCTTAAATTCAAGTTTAAAAAAGTGAAGGAGAGGCAGAGAATGTTGATGCATGCTTGTAATCGCAGCACTTAGGAAGCTCAAACAGGAGGATGGTGAGTTCAAGGCCAGCCCGGGTTCTATTGCAAGACCCTGTCTCTAAGATAAAGTGAGAGAGAGAGAGAAAAAAGAACTTGAAATAAGATTATCAAAATGTTTTTGAAAACAATCAACTGTTATCTGTATGAAATAAAAGCAGAACAAGCCCACATTTTCCAAAATTGTGAAAAATGCCAAAATAAGATATTGTTAGAACTAGAAGTATGGTGGATGCTTTTATCTAAACCAAATTTTTGCTCAAGCTAAGATTACTTTCTGTTTCTGGGGTGGGAGGTTAGGTAAATGGCTAGAAAGTTAATTAGCAGGTTACTGAGTGGCACAGAAATAGCATTTTGGAATATTAAAAATGCTTATATATAATCCACAAAGACTCTGTTATGCATACTGATAACTAAGCATTAAATATATAATATATATTCACTTTTTTCAAATAATTGTTATAGTATTTTTTATTCATTTATAAAAGATATCAAACTGTAAGGCAGAAAATACATAAAACATACCTCTGATAAAAATGTTTGGGCCGATTTCTGAGCTCCTACATGGAGCAGATATTCATAAACATAGAGTGCTAACCTGGAAAATGAATAAAACATGTATTGAGAAGAGAATACTTAAAATTCATTTTTAAAATAATGCATATCTTTCAAGAGCAAAGATATTTTTAACAGAAAATGAACCCCATACCCTCTCAATGGAAATTTATATATTTATGTTCAGAAAGAACTTAAACTAAAATAGTATAGGATGAAAAGGACACATATATCTTTTTGGAAAGAAATTTGAATTTCTCTCTTGAATCAACTTACTTATCAAAACTTTATTCCCCTTGTTATACTTAACATCATTAATCATTTATAATCCAAAATTAATAATTTACAAATCCTACTTTAAGGTAAAATTACCTTTTATCAATAAAAGAAATGAATTAAGTTGTTGGACTTTTCCAACAACTTTATGTATTTTTGGTGAATATTAATACAATCCCTAGCTTTTTGTAGAACCATATGCCAAAACTTGTGTTGAATATCCATTTTAACATTTATTTTGCAACCTTTCCTTATTCAAATTTAGGTGATTGTTAGACCAATTAGTATTTTTACTTATAAAGCATTCAAATTCACAGCAGACCATAATATTACATAAACTTTAAAGATAATACAATATGTTAAGCATGTGGGTGCCTACAAATATAGAATATTGAGTGTGCAGTATATACTTATACTTCTCTCATTATCTTGTGAATTCAAAATGTTTAAGCTATGCCATGTGGCTCAATTTTAGTTGAGCTGTTAAAATATTATTCATAAACCCAAATTAGTGTGAGGCAGTATTTTTAATGGCAGCTTGGATGGATGCCCAGGTAGCTCACAACAGTTCAGCTTCTGCTACACTACTATGTTTACCAATATTGAACCAGGTTTATAGTAAACAATACAATGTAACAATAACCACAGTTCTGTATAGCTGAACCACTTCTCTTGCCAAGGAAATTTTTGATTGTTAAAGATTGATGGCATTTGCAAAAGTGATAATGTTCTTCATTTTCATGAAAACATATGATGCATCTGCCACAAAAAAAAGGAAAATCTGTGTAAATCAAGTTTTTCTGTCCATTTAGTTCCTTCCCCATTCCAAAACTGCCAAATACTTAAAATGAGAATTATTTTATAGTTACTAAGCACCTTGAGAAAGTAGACATCTGATAAGGTTATTCAGAGATAAAAAGGTGTATTATTGACAGTGAATATGTATAAATATGAATATAATTTATAAATCTTAAATTAAAATTTATATTTAAAAATATAAATTAATTTAGAAGCATCTAGTCTCTTCAAATGGAATAACACTTCCTAGATCAGTGCTTCTCAACTCTCTTCCCCACCTTAACACATGGGAGGGATATAAAAGCTCCTTTCAGTTAGCCATACCTCACAGTAGAAGTGTGGCTCATCCCCAAAGTACATTACAAAGGATACAGGAATTGGGATATTCCTAGTTTCAAACAAACATTCTTGCTGATAATCTTAACATCCATTCTTCAAATATACCCTGCCTCTCTGCTGACCACTCCCAAAGCTATCATATTGAGATATATGATATACCAATCACTGACCATGATGGCAAATTTTACTTTGAAAAGGAAGAAGTGTGAAAGTGTGTGAAATCTCCCTCAATAGACTGTGAAGACTCAAAATTGCCTGCCAATGGCAGTCCTCCCACCCCTACAGCCTAAGAGAGAAGAAACATAGTCTCAGGTAATCCTTTGTGGCTTAATAAAATCTTGGGGCCAAAGCCAAACCAATGGTATACGTGAGGCAAGAGATGGAGTGTATGTCAAAGGCTGAATGGTAAGAATGTTCTACTAAGTTTGGGGAAATTGAACGTAAAAGGCAAATGAAGCAGGATCACCAGGATGGGCCTCTGGAGAAGAGAATAAACCTCAGAAAAGTAAGGGCAGAGTACAACAGCTGCTGTGTCCAAAAGTTGTATTTAAAATAAACCCCATTCCATAAAGCCAAGATAAGATATTTCCTTATAATTTTGTAATCTCTTCTTTGTAATAATAAAGACACTAATATATTTTTTCTATTTTCCTAATTAATTAAATAGCAAAAAGGCTAATTAAAATTAAAAGAAATTGTACAGAGAGAGGTTTCATTGTGACTCCAATATTTTAGTTTTAGTTTTGTTTTGGGGTTTTTTTGACAGAACTGGGGATTGAACTCAGGGCTTCACACTTGCTGGGCAGATGATCTACCACTTGAGCCACTCCACTAGCCCATAACTCCAATATTTTAATCATCATCTCTGTACATAGAATTTGTAGATACTATCTGCTTATTCCTATCTTCTTTCCCAAGTTACAAACCAGTCTCTCCAAATTACTTTTTTAAGCTTCTAACAAGATGTTTATCTCTTAAATTGACCAAGTTCAACATGTGATTCACCTTTGCCATTTGCTTTTTTGGTACCTGTGTTCAACATAAACAAAACACAATTTCTGTGAGTCTCAGTTTCCTCATTTGTCAAATGAGAAGAATAATAGCTTCCTTTTATTGTTGAAATGATTAGCAAATACAGTGAATAGTAACAATTATTATTATAATTTCAGCTAGTTCACATCCAGTAATATATTACCAAGTCATATAATGGATTCTAATGCCACAATTTCTCCCCATTTGACATGCCTTTCTGTCCCACTTCCTGTTCCTGAGGAATCTCACACAGTGATATTAGGAGCTGTTAGCTTCAGATACTGTGTACTTTCCCTTAGCTCCCCTCAATAAAGGGATGGAAACCATGAATAAGAATGTCCAGAGAGGAATTCCAAGATGGCGGCTAGAGGGAGGAAGCAGAAAGTGTGCCTTCTTAAGTGAAATCTTGGAGAGATGCTGGAGTCACACCTTGCAGGCAAGGCCACCAAGAAGAGGCAAAACATTGACTCCTCCACACCTCCTGGCTGCACAGAGAATCGCCACTTCATGCTAAACAGAGAAACCAGGAGGGCCCCCGGGCCGCCAGACACCCGCGCCCAGACAGCTTGGGAAGACACGGACAACTTTTGTTCGAATTTATGTTTCCCCTTTGATGAGACAACTACAGAACAACATCTGAGGCACCATCTCCAGGATTGGAGGCTGAGGGACAAACACCAAAATTATTAAGACTGAAACTTCATTGCAATTGAACTTGGAGATTTTTATTTTTATTTTGTATTATTTTATTTCATTTATATATTTTTTTCTTTCATTTACTTATTTTTTATTTTTATTCTGACCTTTATTCTTTTCATTTTTTATTTCCAATCCTCTCTCTGTCTCTCTAATGCCTTTTCACCTTAGATTGATTAGTACACTGTCTCTCCCTGTTTATATCTTTGAAACTTTTTTATTTGTTTCTTTGTTTTATTTTTTTTCTACTTATTTGATTTTCCCTTTTCCTTTACCTTCTTTGCTTTCCATCCCTCTCACCCTTCCATTCTAAATATCACTAGTGTATTATTAAGCAGAAAATATTAATTGCACACAGTACAGGGATAATAACAACACAAAGGCAATGACAGGAAGACAGAAAAGACAGGGAAACCAGTTTCCCCACAGCAAAAAATTAGTACAGGAACCAGACGGAAATGAAGAAAACAGATACTCAGATCCAGACTCCAAAAAAATGAAGATAAACTATGCCAAAGAAACCTAATGAAGCCCACAAGAATAATTTAAAAGAAGACATACTATAGGTAATCAATGAGAATTTTATAGAGATGATAATGGATAGGGTCAACCAAAATGTACAGGAGACACTCAAGAAATTCCAAGACAACAAAAATAGAGAATTTGAAAAAGCAAAAGAAGAAATAAAGGAAACCATAGAAGCACTGTATAAACACAAAAGTGAAACAGAGAACATGATTAATAAAGAGATAAATGAACTTAGGACAAAAAATAGACAGCATTAAAGAGGAAATAACCCAGGATATGGAAAACCTCAGAAAAAAGAACGAAACAGAATTGCAAAACAAAACAAAAGGACAATCCAGCAGAATAGAATAAACAGAAGACAAAATCTCAGAACTTGAAGATGAAATGGTAATTAAAGGAAAAACCGAAGAACTATTAATTAAATAACTCAAGACCTGTGAAAAGAAAATGCAAGAACTCACTGCCTCCATCAAAACCAAACTTGAGAATCATGGGCATCGAAGAAGGAGAAGAGGTGCAAGCAAAGGGAATGCGTAATATATTCAACAAAATAATAAAAGAAAATTTCCCAAAGCTAGAGAAAGATATTCCCATATAGATGCAAGAGGTCTCCAGAACACCAAACAGAACAGATCAAAATAGAACTACCCCACATATCATCATTAAAACAACTTCAGAAACTAGGAAAGAATATTGAAGGCTGTAAGAGAGAAAAAACAATAACATACAAAGGTAAACCCATCAAAATCACAGCAGACTTCTCAACAGAAACATTAAAAGCAAGAAGAGTGGGGTGAGATCTTCCAGGCACTGAATGAAAATAACTTCAACCCAAGGATACTCTACCCAGCAAAACTATCATTCAAAATAGATGGAGCAATAAAAGTCTTCCATGATAAGGAGAAACTAAAACAATATATGACCACAAAGACACCACTACAAAAGATTCTTCAAGGGATTCTGCACACAGAAAGTGAACCCAACATAACCATGAAAGACAGGCAGCACCAAACACAGGAAAAGAAAAAGCAAGAAAGTAGACAGTAACCTCAACTTAGGGACAACCTTCAAACAAATAAGACAACTAAATGACAAGAATCCCCACATACCTATCAGTACTAACACTTAATGTTAACGGACTTAATTCACCCATCAAAAGGCAGCACTTGAAGAAATGGATTAAAAAGGAAGCGCCAACAATTTGTTGCTTACAGGAAACCGATCTCACCAACAGAAATAAGCATAGGCTTAGGATGAAAGGCTGGAAGAAGATTTACCAAGCCAATGGCTTCCCAAAACAGGCAGGAGTAGCAATACTTATCTCTGACAAAGTAGACTTCAAACCTACATTGATCAAATGAGATAAAGAAGGACATTCCATACTAATAAAAG